GTCCTCCAGGATTGACTCTGAAACCCCAAAAAATCGAAACCGCAGCATGAATAGATACTCCAAACAAGAAGAGGAGGGGTGGACTCGAATTTTAATTCTTGACCAAATAAAGGGGCCTAACCTTTGAATGATTTTGACGAAACCCAGTCTCCAGATCCATCAAATCTTCTCAAAACTGCAAGAAAACCATTTCTGCCAGGAGGAAAATTTTCATCAACTTCAAAGCTAACCCACGCTTTGGACACTGCCTTCCCCGGTAAAGAACTCCCAACAGAGTAGACTGACGCAAAACGCAACGCCAATCAGAAAAGAAATTTTATATGATTGTCCTACTCAGAAAATAACAGCAGTTGAACAACCGCCTATCAGGAAAAGGTGAAAAACAAACACCAAACGCAACAGATTTTGCTGTTAAAAAAACTGAAAGAGAAGTTGTTTAGCTGGAGAATTAGAGCGCAAGATTAAAAAGAACATTTTTTCTCTATAACAGTGAAAGAAAGGCTTCACCATTTTTACTGCTTAGAAACAAAAATAAGCAATTCGAAGTAATTTTTTGTTCTTGATTTTTCGGATATGTAGACAAGTGAGATACGTTTGTGTTCTTTATAGCCTATATGTATGCTTCCACGTTTCGCTTTCAAAGCGTATTTATGAATTCATGGGTAAAATCTCTTTGAGTTTGAGTTGTTTTTGGTCCCCTGTATCATGCATTAACTTCTTTTTAATCTATTTATAACTCTATTTCCATGTCATTTAGAAAAAACGTTATTATTGACCAATAAATATATTAGACATTTGAATTACAATTTTATAAAATTTAGGCTAATATGAGAATTAAAATAATGTAAAACTAAATATTCACATTTTTGGAGTAAGACTTAACAAGCTTCTCAAACATAAAATTACATATTTTTTGAATGACAAACAAAGAATGAGGAAAAATCGTCAAGTATCTTGTGATCTGATGACATGAGTGTGGTACTTTTAAAGAAGAGGTCACAAGTTCGAATTCATTGTAATTTAAAGGATGTTGACCTTAACATTAAACAAATATCATAATAGATTGGGAAGCTTTGTAAAAAAAAACTAAAAAAAAAACACAATGAGGAGAAAGCTTTTAATTAGGGTTATTTGATTGTTAAACGGAGGTTGTTATGATCAATGAGAGACTAAAAACAAAAAACATAAATTGCAAGGATGAAAAGCAAAATAAATTTCTCAAGGACATAAAACAAAATGTACTACGTAATATATTTACAGGGACTAAAAACACATTTAAACCTTACGAAAATGAGGTAAAAATTATTTATTTTACGAGTTTTTTTCTAAAATATTACTCCGTACTAAAATGGCTTAGATATGTGTTCACTCCCTACAAATATGACATGTTTTGTTTTAGATCCCTAAAATTTTTTATTTATTTTTATCTCTGTAATATGCACCATTTTCTTTTAGTCCATCTATAATTATGGGACCACCACATTTAGAGAAAAAAAATATTGTTGGTTGAATAAATCTACCAGAACATTTAAATTTATCTATTTATAATTTTTTTGAGGATAATATGAGAGTTAAAATAATGTATAACTAATTATTCACATTAGTTATCTATTTATAATTTTTTTGAGGATAATATGACAGTTAAAATAATGTATAACTAATTATTCACATTTTTAAAACATGTTTTAACAAATTTCTCAAATATTATTACGTTTTTGCCATCATATTACATTCATGCGGCCAATGGAGGCCCCCACACGTACTACAAGAAGGACTAATAGGTCAGGAGCCCACTATGTTCACGCTAGGCACCGAGTGAGCAGTTTCTACCTTCTTCCTTGGATCATCCACGCTGGTCATAAGCTTTTGCATTATGCTTTTCGAGGTATCTACCCGTGCAGAAAGGACAGAATTATCACCGATCTCATAAAGGCCTGAAGCTATTTGTTGAGGAGGACTCCGTGAACTGTACCATGAAGCATTATTGGCAACTATTTTCTCCACCAGTGCTTCGGCATCATCGGTCGTTGGATCAGGAAAAGCACCATTGGCAGAGGCATCTAGCATCATCTTCCCTTCATTGTTAATGCCACTATAGAAGAAAGATATGATCTCACAATTACTCATCTTACCCTGAGGACAAGACCTTCTCAGCATCTTGAATCTCTTCCACGCTTCAGCTAAAGTCTCCAGTGATCCTTGCTTGAACTCTTGCAACTGCTTCTTCAGTCTCAGACTTTCGATGCCTTTGATGGGGGAAATATTCTTTGATGAAGGCACCGTGCAGTGCAGCTGGTCCGAAGTCTGGAGGTGGAGGTGTGGATTACTGTCCAGCCATCTCTGTGCATCATCCCTCAGTGAAAAGGGGAAAAGCATCATCCGCACATGATCATCAGCTACTCCAGGGATCTTGAAAGTTTGGCACATCCTCAGAAAACAGGTAATGTGTGCCACCGGATCTTCATTAGGTCCTCCTCCAAACTGGTTATTAGAAACCATGTTAATCACCGTTGGCTTGATCTCGTAACGGTTTGCAATAGTTCCCGGCACTTGAATGCTATCATACTCTGAGATCTCTGGAGTGAGGAACTATGTGATGGTCTGGCCTTGATAGAGCGGGTTATTGTGCGGAACATAAGCATCGTGTGAAGAGCCTGACTGTCTAGGTTGGAAAGCTTGCCTTTGTTGAACGTGTTGTACTTGGGGCGGATTACGGTACTGGTTCCGGAAAGGATTTTGGTGTTGTGGCTGATTTTGGAACAGATTTTGGGTGACTAGGGGAGTGTTCTGTCTCGGTTGAAAAACAGGAATGTTCTGCCTTCTCCTTGCATCCCAAGGGTTTGATTTTGAAAGGCAGTTTCAGGAGCAGTAGATGTATTTTGGAACATTTGGTATAGTGGAGGAAGGTTGATTTGCGGTGCAGCTTGATTTTGAGTAAAAAAAATGGCGGAGGGCGGAAATTTTGGAAGCCTGGCGGCGTCTTGGTGAAATAGATGGTGAAGATTGTGGTGAGGTGTTGATGTAGAAATCAAGCTGTGAAGTGGTGTTAGGGACTCCAGATGTCCCAGTGGTTCCAGATGAAGACTGGTCCATGGCTGACTTTTTCTCTTTTTGAGCCTTGCGGTTCTGTCTAGCGAGCTTTTCGATCTCAAGATTCAGAGGGCCGGGCGGTTCTCCCCTCTTAGAGCGTGTATGCATAAACAGATATGACCTGCAAGGTCAGCACACAAAAATCCTACGAAAAATTCAAAACAAGTCGTTGAGTCTAATTAACCCTTGAAATCGACACCGTCCCTGGCAACGACGCCAAAAACTGATGTGAGTTTCCTCTCATTTAAAATAATGTAGCAGTATAGGGTGTAAGTACGAGTATCGTCTCCACATGGACGGAAAAGGGGTACCAGGAATTAATTAAATTCAGCGATTAAAATAAAAAAATAAATGCAATGATGCGCGATCAGTTGATGGAGAATTAAAATGCAGACAAACGAATAAAAAGATTGGGTCTTTCTAATTAACGATGAAAGGAACAAAGATTGAATCTGGAGTAACCAGATTTCTAGCTGATCAGGCTTAATCACATGAAATTAATTTATTTGAGCAACGCTAAACAATACTAAGCTCTAACCGCTCTCGCAGCGTAGAGTACAATAATTTGGGGGACCAGACTGATCTCTCATGCGACAGGATCCTAAACTATTGCCAAAACGAGCGACCATACGACCCCTTAATCGTTACCAATCTCTTAGAGAACGATTAAGTGTGTGTATAGGTGTCCTAGAATAAATTAGATCTCTCTTAATTTATTCTACAAACAATTGTATATCTAGCGACCGTTCTAGATTACAAGAAATGTCAATTAAATCATTCATACACAAATTAAACGACATTCATGCAATTAATCCATCATGAAATTAACCATACATCATGATTAACTCCTTCATCAATTCCAAATCCTAAATTAAAACTACTCACAATTCATAATTGAAGAATCAACAACAGTGGGATGAAAAGAATTAATTGTCATTAATTAAAAAGTAGGAACTTATAAATATTTTTAGAGTCTTGAAGAATAAAGCGGTAAAACACCTAAAATTTCGTCCCTAGGTCTCTCTCTAAGCTCCATCTGTGACACCGCACCCGAACGTCCTTGAAAATTCAATTTAAAAATTCAAAGTTATGTATTGAATTTCTGATTCCCAAACAATTGTAAATGATTGATGTTTTACGTAATTAATGATCGATTATTATACTGTTCGAACTCGTATATTAGTGTCGGGCTTGCGAATACTCGTTTGGGCCTTATTAATAAATAAAAGAGCCTAACACTATCTAAATAGTGATACATAAAGTTTCAAGACAAGTTGAGGAAGGGCGGGCGGCCCAGACATCATTTTGGGCTCAACCCGCTAAAATAGCAAGTATTCGAGAATGGCATCGTAGGCCCACTCGGGGGTGACCCACACGGCTGGTAGTCCAATAATATGGATGACAAATGTCGAAATAAGTGACAGGATGATTTGAGGTGAATACAAATGCCTATTATCCCATCTTTGACATTATTGAGTTAAATAATGGGAGTAGGATTTTTCCTTCTATAATATCCATCAAGTAAATTATTGAGATGAGCCTACACATATTGGGGATCAATAATGTGATGTAGGAAGTTGACTTGTTCTAAATAAGTTAGGATGAGTACAAAAAGACATCTTTGACAAAAGATAAAACAATAGAACCCATCTTCCCATTTTTGGAAGTATTGATAGATATTTTGGACCCCAAAATAATTGGGATCAATGGGGAACCACTCCACATGATATTAGTACCTGCAAGACAAATAAAAATGGGTTAGAAGACTTACCTTGGCCGCACCACATGGAGAAGAACTGCACATGATACAATTGGAATCAAAATTTGGGGCCACCATCACTATTTTTCGCACAAACTGGTGTGCTGTTTTGTCTCCCTTCATTATGGGAGTTATACTCATCCAAATAGCTTTATTGAAGTGTCCTTGGATAGCCTTTGAAGTGTAGTTTCTTATTTGAGTGGTCTCTGTTCGAGAAGGGAGAGTTTATCCCACAAAAACCGAGCTGGAGTGAACTTCTGTCTGTAAACTCGAGCAGTGAGAGTGCTGAAGCTGTTTGGTTGATATCTCGAGTTATACCAATCCAATTAAGGCGAGTAAGATACCAAAAGAAATCTCTCAAGACGAGGGATCCGTGAAGGTCTGGTTTGCATCAATCGGAGTAGTGGAAGGCTTCCAAATCGTCCGAGCAAAAGGAAACCTCGCAGAAACGGATCTACACCTCTAAAGTGAGTTGTTAACCCCAAAACCTTTCCTTTCATTTTCCAAATGATATGAACGATTTGTGGAACTATTTTAAACTAATACAAGTGTATAATATGTCCTTGTAAAGTTATTTTATTGATGTAAAGGTTAGATACTAACCTAGAGTAAATCTTGGAAAACTAGGAGACGAGTTAACCGGAAAACACCCATTCTAGGGGCTGTTTTCGTATCAACGTTTGAGGGTTGAGCTAGCACTTTGAGGAGGCTTTTTAACACTCATATTTAAGCAAGGAATCAGTTCTTAATCCACCTTGGCCAAAGCTTTGACCATTGGATCAAGAAGGAAAATGATTTGGTAAAGTATTGATAAAAATGGAGTTAAATGAACTATTGTGTGAAATAGGCATTTTACTCATGTGTGAATTGTGTAGATACATAAATGATTATTTATGTATTACATTGAATGATTAAGTTGCTGCTACATATCTCTAAATATGTAGGGTTTTACAAATGGAATATATGATGGATAAGAATAATCTTAATAGTATTGAAATACTAGTTAATGATTGTTGTAGTTGTTGAAGAATTGAATCTAAGGATTTGATTGTAATTGATGAACTTGATTGTGATGCAAGTGACTAAATTGATGTAATGTGATGCTAAGACCATGGTTGGGCAGTCCGTAAGGATGTCCCAAAATAGATTATTGATATTACAATTCTAGGCATAGCGAGTGCTTAGGAATTGGGGTCTATGCCAATGCAAGGGGATGTACTTGAGCCGTGCTCATAGAATTGCATTGGGTAGACATGACGGGGTGATTGTTGTGCATGGTGATGTAGTTGAGTTGGACTCAAGAAATGCACGGTGGAGTAGTTAGCTCATGTTAATTAAGGTGCATGGTGATGTAGTCGAGTTGGACTCGAGAATGCAAATATATGTGTTAGGGTTGAACCCTATGAATTGTTGTGACTAGGGGTCACGGGGTTTTGGGCTATGTTTGATAAACAAACCTTGGGCCTACGGGCCGACTACTTGACTTTATATATAAAGTAAGTATATTTTAAAAAGGGGTAACTTGGGGTTACGGCCTAGATTATATTATCACCCTATTTGAGGGTCTTGTGTTTGAAATACTTGTTGTATATCTATTAGATGTCATCCACACCAGCACTTTATAGCCCTATAGAGTGCTGACCCCTTCGGGGGCGTCCCACCACCATTTTTCAGGTTGAGGCTAAAGCTTGCTTCCTGTGCTCGTTGCTCGAGAGATCATCTAGGAGGGAAGACTTGGTTCGTGCTTCCTCCATTCGGTTTTTAAACATTAATAAACATGCTCATGAATATTTTACTATAGAGCCTGCGTGCTCATGTTAGCCACGTGTGGCATTTGTTTTCAAACTATGTTTTCCGCTACGTATTCGATTGCTTGTTATGTTGTTTATGGATGGCTTACGTGTGAATGATATTCGAGACGCCTTGTATAATATGAACGTGTTGGTCTGCGGTTGACTATTCGTATTGTACGGCGGGTTGTTGACGTGTCCGGGGAGGTCCGGGGCGTGACAATTTAATTGGTATCAGAGCCTTAGTCCATAAACTTCATAATGAAGTCTCAAAATTCTCTTTTTGAAAAGATTTTGAAAACCATGAGCATAGAAGTTTTGTACTTGGAGAGCTTTTGGTACTTGGGTTGCAAGGTCTCTAATTGTTAAGATGGTACCCTTAGCAATTGGTATGGCGGTGACTCGAGCCAAAATGTGTCTTAAGTACCTATCCGTCAATTGACATTTGATACGAGTCCAAACGACTCTTTCCAAATTTCTTTCAGAAATGGACCGTGGTGGCAGGATTACTAGGAGAAACCCGACTGGCCGTGTACCAGTGGAGACTGGACAGGGCAATCGAAGGACCTCTAGGGCATCTAGAGGAGCTGGCCTTGGAGGCCGATCACAGACCGTGAGTGACGGCCATGTCGACACAGAAAGTGAACCCTACTGGTCCTATGAGGACTCGACTTACCAACCGGAAACCGAGTCGGTTGAGACCCCTTACGAAGGGGATGACGATGATGTAAGTGATGAAGAAGGGGAGAATGACTCCCTAGCAAGAATTGAGGCGCTGCACCAGCAATATCAGCGGGAGCGCGAGGAAAGGAGGGAACGCTGAAGGCGCCGAGGAGGGCGAACTTCGGGTGGGGCTTCAAGAGGAAGAAGCCATGGCGACTCTAGGGCCCACATTGAACCACATGGGGGCCGGGGTGATGGAGGTCCAATCATAAGGATCTCAAAATTTCTCAAAGAGGCGAGAGACTTGGGGTGCAAACCCTTCAACGGAGCAGGTGACATCTCGGTCGCCGCGGAATGGATCAAGAGGTTGAACGAAGCAGCCCTTGATATGCAACTCACCCCCGAATTTAAACTAAGGGTGGCGGTGAGATTGCTTGAAGGGATGGCATCCACATGGTGGGACAGAGCCAAGGGAAAGTATGGCAATACCGTGACTTGGGAGAATTTCCGACAGGAGTTCTTTGCCCAATACTATTCTGATTTTGAGGTGAGCACTAAGAGGAGAGAGTATATCCTCCTGATCCAAGGTGGTAAAATGACGGTGAGGCAACTTGAACACAAATTCAGGGAGCTCGCGGAGTTCATACCGGAGTATGTCTGTGACGAGAACCGGATGGTAAATCACTTCTGGGATGCCTTAGACTTGGAGGTGCGTGAGAGGGCAACACAGTTGCCTAACATGACCTTTAGCCAGGTGGTCGAGCAGGGATTGAAGGGAGAGAAGGAATGGGAAGAAACAAAGTTGAAAAACGCCGAAGAGGCGAAGAAGAGAAAGTGGGAGAACCATGGACCTCAGGGTCCTAACAAAAAGGGGAACCATGGAGGAGGGGGATCTTTTCGGACACCCCCACTGCCATCTAGGGGAGGTCAAGGCCCGGGCGGACAATCACAAGCCTCGGGGGTGACTCATTGCAAGAATTGCAAGAGGAACCACCTGGGGAAATGCCATGACCCTCATAGATGCTGCCAATGCGGGAGCATCGGGCACATGAAGATGAGTTGCCCACAACTGGGCGGAACGAGGGCATCAGGGCCAAGTAGTGGTACTACCGGGACACGGAATCAAGCCGAGGCTTCACACGCGTCCAGGGGGCAAGGGGGAGCAAGCGCGAGCAACGCGCCGTCCGTGAATCAAGGAAGGACTCAAGCTAGAGTCTATGCGATGACGGAGGCGGATGCTCAAGCTAACCCGGATTCCGTTGCAGGTATTACCTTTTGTATACTTCTGTTTTACCCTTGATTAGTCCATAAATTGAGGTTGCTAGTCGTTGGGATCATTGCACAAAGTTTTGGGATCAAACGGAGCGAAATCGGGCGAAAGACGGCTGATTTCCGCCAACGCACACCAGGCTGGACCGTACGCACGGCCGTGCGTTGGTCTGTGCGTTGGTCCGTGCGTTGGTGGCAGTAGCAACCGGGAAGAAATTGCTATACGCACGGCCGTGCGTTGGTCCATGTGTTGGTCCGTGCGTTGGTGGTAGTAGCAACCGGAAAGAAATTGCTACACGCACGGCCGTGCGTGGATGGACGCACGCCGTGCGTGGATGGACGCACGCCGTGCGTACCCCCGTGCGTCCTCCCGTGCGTCCGTCGCAGTAGCTCCTTTTTGAGATTATAAGACACGCACGCCGTGCGTACCTCCTAGGCACGCCGTGCGTACCTCCTGGGCAGCCCAAAGTCAACTTTTTCGCGCCGTATTGCAACGTTAAGACCCGTTCTTGATCCCAAACACGTGTGTGAACATAATAAACCTCTCTAAATGCATAAGAATGGTAGGAAAGGTATCTCACATGACTTATAAATGTAAGAACACTAAAGATTAATGGGAAGCATGCGCGAATCCTTATCGATACCGGAGCGCAACGTTCATTCGTAAGTGAGGCGTTCGCCAAGGGCTTAGAGATACAATCAATACCAATGACGCAAACTTTAGTGGTATCAACACCACTAGGGGAAGACGTTGAAAGAACCAATTACTATCCATCTTGTATGGTGGAAATCGGTGGCCAAACCTTGACGTGTGATTTCGTACCGCTGAGTATGATGGAGTTCGATGCAATCCTAGGGATGGATTGGCTAGAAAAGCATCATGCTAGGGTAGATTGCTACACAAAGGTTTTGGAACTCGAAGGCAATGATGGGGATACCCTAGGCTTCGAGGGGGACCGAGGCAAATCAAACAGTTGTATCATATCCGCTGTGAGAGCGAGAAGTATGATGAGAAAGGGATGCCACGCTTATCTAGCATACGTGGTTGACAAAAACAAGGAGGAAACGAACATCGACGACGTGAGGGTGGTTTGTAAGTACCCGGATGTCTTCCCAAAGGACCTGCCGGGGCTTCCACCTGATAGGGAGATTGAATTTGTGATCGAGGTCGAGCCCGGCACCAAACCAATCTCCATACCGCCATACCGTATGGCACCCGCTGAACTTAACGAGTTGAAAATCCAATTGCAAGAGCTTTTGGATAATGGTTTCATTAGACCAAGCCACTCCCCGTGGGGAGCACCGGTTCTTTTTGTGAAAAAGAAAGATGGGACACTTCGAATGTGCATTGACTATCGTCAACTGAACAAGGTCACAATCAAGAATAGGTATCCTTTGCCTAGGATTGATGACTTGTTTGATCAACCACGAGGAGCAACTGTGTTTTCGAAGATTGACTTTAGGTCGGGGTACCATCAATTGAAGATTAAGGAAGATGACATACCAAAGAGTGCTTTCCGCACAAGGTATGGGCATTTTGAGTTCCTTGTTATGTCGTTTGGGTTAACAAACGCCCCAGCGGCATTCATGGACTTGATGAACCAAGTATTCCATAAATACTTGGATCGATTCGTGATTGTGTTCATAGATGACATCTTGATTTACTCAAAGAGTGAAGAAGAGCACGAGGAGCACTTGATACTTGTTCTAGAGACACTACGGGAGAAGCAACTTTATGCCAAATTTTCTAAATGTGAATTTTGGCTAAAGGAAATTGGCTTTCTCGGGCACGTGGTTTCGGGATCGGGAATTGCTGTTGATAACAAGAAGATAGAGGCCATTACCGAATGGGAGAGACCAAAGAATGTCAAGGAAATTCCTAGTTTCCTTGGATTGGCAGGCTACTACAGAAAGTTCGTGGAAAAGTTCTCTGTTTTGGCGTCGCCGTTGACGAAGCTCACTCTAAAGGGAGCTAAGTTTATATGGGATGACAAATGTGAGAAAGGATTCATTGAACTGAAGAAGAGATTGACCGAGGCACCGGTACTTGCATTACCCAAACAGGGTATGGGGTACGATGTCTATAGTGACGCGAGCATCCAAGGGTTTGGGTGTGTGTTGATGCAGGAGGGGAGAGTAATTGCCTATGCTTCACGACAGTTGAAGAAGCATGAGGTAAATTACCCTACCCATGATCTGGAGCTGGGAGCAGTAGTGTTTGCACTGAAGATTTGGAGACATTATCTCTACGGAGAGACATGTCACATATATACTGATCATAAAAGCTTGAAGTACGTGTTTACTCAGAAAGAGTTAAACATGAGACAGAGACGGTGGATGGAGTTGATAAAGGACTACCATCTAGTTATTGAGTACCATCCAGGTAAGGCAAACGTTGTAGCAGATGCCCTCAGTCGGAAGAGTTCGTCTAGGGCATTGTTGACTAGTTTGAGGGCACTGAGGGCCCAATTGGATGTATCTAGCGACGGTGCCTTATTGGCACGATTCGAGGTGAGACCGACCTTACTTGATGAGATCAAGAAGGGTCAAGAGACTGACGTAGAACTAATAAAGGTCCGGGAATGCATGCAAGCGGGACTGGTGGAGGATTTCAGGGAAAGAGATGATGGTCTCTTGTTATTTCGTGACCGAGTGTGTGTACCGTCAGATGACGAGCTCCGAAAGTCCATCTTAGAGGAGGCTCATTCATCGGCTTATGCCATGCACTCGGGGGGCACGAAAATGTACCGTGATTTGAAAGAAAGTTACTGGTGGTCTGGAATGAAGAGGGAAATAGCCGAATACATCAGTCGATGCCTTACTTGTCAACAAGTTAAGGCAGAACATCAGCATCCAGCAGGCTTATTGCAACCACTTTCCATTCCTGAATGGAAGTGGGAACGCGTGACTATGGATTTTGTGGTAGGTTTACCACGGACAATCAGGAACTATGATGCAGTTTGGGTTGTTGTAGATAGGCTCACGAAGAGTGCACACTTCTTACCTATCAACACTACTTACCCACTTGAGAGGTTAGCCAAATTGTACACAGATGAGATCGTGAGGTTACATGGGGTTCCTGTGACCATTGTATCCGATAGAGACCCACGATTCACATCACGTTTTTGGCCGAAATTTCAGGAGTCTATGGGAACGAGGTTTAAGTTCAGTACTGCTTTCCACCCACAGACGGATGGGCAGTCTGAAAGAGTCATACAGATCTTAGAAGACATGCTGAGGGCTTGTGCGTTGGAGTTCCAAGGAAGTTGGGACAACCACTTAGCACTTGTGGAATTTGCCTATAACAACAGTTATCAGGCAAGCATCGGTATGCCTCCATACGAGGCATTGTACGGGAGGAGGTGCCGTACACCGTTATGCTGGGACGAGGTTGGCGTGGCCAAACTCGAGGGTACTGAGTTGGTTGAGGTCACCAAGTCAAAGGTGAAGTTGATTCGAGAGAGACTCAAAGCGGCTCAGGATAGACAAAAGAGTTATGCGGATAAACGTCGGAGAACCTTAGAGTTTAAGGTTGATGACGAGGTATTCTTGAAAGTTTCTCCTTGGAAATGAATCATTCGATTTCAAACCCGAGGAAAGCTTAATCCACGATACATAGGTCCATTCAGAATTATAGAGAGGATTGGGGCCGTAGCATATCGCCTGCAGTTGACTCCTGAATTAGAGAAGATACATAATGTGTTTCATGTATCCATGCTTAAGAAGTATGTACATGATCCCTCTCACGTGTTGGAAAAGCCACCTGTAGAGGTACGTGAGGATTTGAACTACGCTGTGCAACCAATCAAGGTCACCGATAGAAAGGTGAAGAAACTGAGGAGCAAAGAAGTCCCAATGGTTAAAGTACTTTGGAAGAGCGATCGGGTCGAAGAAGAGACATGGGAAACAGAGGCTTTGATGAGGAAGCAGTATGCTTTCCTATTCGAGTAGAGCTGTGAATTTCGGGGACGAAATTCCTGTTAAGGGGAGGGGGGTGAACTTGTGACACCGCACCCGAACGTCCTTGAAAATTCAATTTAAAAATTCAAAGTTATGTATTGAATTTCTGATTCCCAAACAATTGTAAATGATTGATGTTTTACGTAATTAATGATCGATTATTATACTGTTCGAACTCGTATATTAGTGTCGGGCTTGCGAATACTCGTTTGGGACTTATTAATAAATAAAAGAGCCTAACACTATCTAAATAGTGATACATAAAGTTTCAAGACAAGTTGAGGAAGGGCGGGCGGCCCATACATCATTTTGGGCTCAACCCGCTAAAATAGCAAGTATTCGAGAATGGCATCGTAGGCCCACTCAGGGGTGACCCACACGGCTGGTAGTCCAATAATATGGATGACAAATGTCGAAATAAGTGACAGGATGATTTGAGGTGAATACAAATGCCTATGATCCCATCTTTGACATTATTGAGTTAAATAATGGGAGTAGGATTTTTCCTCCTATAATATCCATCAAGTAAATTATTGAGATGAGCCTACACATATTGGAGATCAATAATGTGATGTAGGAAGTTGACTTGTTCTAAATAAGTTAGGATGAGTACAAAAAGACATTTTTGACAAAAGATAAAACAATAGAACCCATCTTCCCATTTTTGGAAGTATTGATAGATATTTTGGACCCCAAAATAATTGGGATCAATGGGGAACCACTCCACATGATATTAGTACCTGCAAGACAAATAAAAATGGGTGAGAAGACTTACCTTGGCCGCACCACATGGAGAAGAACTGCACATGATACAATTGGAATCAAAATTTGGGGCCACCATCACTATTTTTCGCACAAACTGGTGTGCTGTTTTGTCTCCCTTCATTATGGGAGTTATACTCATCCAAATAGCTTTATTGAAGTGTCCTTGGATAGCCTTTGAAGTGTAGTTTCTTATTTGAGTGGTCTCTGTTCGAGAAGGGAGAGTTTATCCCACAAAAACCGAGCTGGAGTGAACTTCTGTCTGTAAACTCGAGCAGTGAGAGTGCTGAAGCTGTTTGGTTGATATCTCGAGTTATACCAATCCAATTAAGGCGAGTAAGATACCAAAAGAAATCTCTCAAGACGAGGGATCCGTGAAGGTCTGGTTTGCATCAATCGGAGTAGTGGAAGGCTTCCAAATCGTCCGAGCAAAAGGAAACCTCGCAGAAACGGATCTACACCTCTAAAGTGAGTTGTTAACCCCAAAACCTTTCCTTTCATTTTCCAAATGATATGAACGATTTGTGGAACTATTTTAAACTAATACAAGTGTATAATATGTCCTTGTAAAGTTATTTTATTGATGTAAAGGTTAGATACTAACCTAGAGTAAATCTTGGAAAACTAGGAGACGAGTTAACCGGAAAACACCCATTCTAGGGGCTGTTTTCGTATCAACGTTTGAGGGTTGAGCTAGCACTTTGAGGAGGCTTTTTAACACTCATATTTAAGCAAGGAATCAGTTCTTAATCCACCTTGGCCAAAGCTTTGACCATTGGATCAAGAAGGAAAATGATTTGGTAAAGTATTGATAAAAATGGAGTTAAATGAACTATTGTGTGAAATAGGCATTTTACTCATGTGTGAATTGTGTAGATACATAAATGATTATTTATGTATTACATTGAATGATTAAGTTGCTGCTACATATCTCTAAATATGTAGGGTTTTACAAATGGAATATATGATGGATAAGAATAATCTTAATAGTATTGAAATACTAGTTAATGATTGTTGTAGTTGTTGAAGAATTGAATCTAAGGATTTGATTGTAATTGATGAACTTGATTGTGATGCAAGTGACTAAATTGATGTAATGTGATGCTAAGACCATGGTTGGGCAGTCCGTAAGGATGTCCCAAAATAGATTATTGATATTACAATTCTAGGCATAGCGAGTGCTTAGGAATTGGGGTCTATGCCAATGCAAGGGGATGTACTTGAGCCGTGCTCATAGAATTGCATTGGGTAGACATGACGGGGTGATTGTTGTGCATGGTGATGTAGTTGAGTTGGACTCAAGAAATGCACGGTGGAGTAGTTAGCTCATGTTAATTAAGGTGCATGGTGATGTAGTCGAGTTGGACTCGAGAATGCAAATATATGTGTTAGGGTTGAACCCTATGAATTGTTGTGACTAGGGGTCACGGGGTTTTGGGCTATGTTTGATAAACAAACCTTGGGCCTACGGGCCGACTACTTGACTTTATATATAAAGTAAGTATATTTTAAAAAGGGGTAACTTGGGGTTACGGCCTAGATTATATTATCACCCTATTTGAGGGTCTTGTGTTTGAAATACTTGTTGTATATCTATTAGATGCCATCCACACCAGCACTTTATAGCCCTATAGAGTGCTGACCCCTTCGGGGGCGTCCCACCACCATTTTTCAGGTTGAGGCTAAAGCTTGCTTCCTGTGCTCGTTGCTCGAGAGATCATCTAGGAGGGAAGACTTGGTTCGTGCTTCCTCCATTCGGTTTTTAAACATTAATAAACATGCTCATGAATATTTTACTATAGAGCCTGCGTGCTCATGTTAGCCACGTGTGGCATTTGTTTTCAAACTATGTTTTCCGCTACGTATTCGATTGCTTGTTATGTTGTTTATGGATGGCTTACGTGTGAATGATATTCGAGACGCCTTGTATAATATGAACGTGTTGGTCTGCGGTTGACTATTCGTATTGTACGGCGGGTTGTTGACGTGTCCGGGGAGGTCCGGGGCGTGACACCATCTCCCCAAAAGGGGTTTGGGGGCGATATAAATAGAAAACAGTCGAATTCGGTCTCAAAAAGGACTTTTCGGGGAACGCTCGGTGCTCACGCTCCGAGAGCATGACATCTAAGCGTCCGGAGCAAATTCCGCGCTTCGGGTCCACGCTCAACGAGCTTCCCTGCCACACTCGGTGAGCGTGGACGGCATCCATATTTATGACTTATTGAAAGACATCCATAATTTGTTGATTTTATTATTATTTTTCTACGAATTATTGAAATTTTTTGAATTTGTTATGAATTAAACATTTAATAATGACTTTTGACTATGTTTTACTCATATTTAGAGGGGTAAGAATGGAATGAAGAAATAGGTATGTTTCCAATAGGACCAATATGGTCCTATTTTGGAATAAAAAACATAGCAAGTCCTATTTTGAGTTTTTGCCATAGTTTTAGTCCTATTTGAAGTAATTTCTATTCTTTTTTTATTTCTTGACTCTTTATTCCCCCTTTTGGTCTTCTTATTTTTATTTTTATTACTTTTCAATTTTTATTTTTATTTTTTTCAATGTTTATGTATTCCATTTTTCCTTCTTTTTCTTCTTCCCGTTTATTTTTTCATTTTCAATTTTATATATTTTTTCGGATTAGTTTCCTTATAAAAGATCTTTTTCTCACCGTACTAATTTTTTACTTTATTTTCTTTTTACTTACACTTATTTATTTCCTTTTTCCCTTTCTTACCTTTATTTTACCACTAATATATATTTGAGAAAATAGCCTCAAAATAGAACTAAACTAATCCTTAAATGCACAAATAGGACTATGTTATTTATCTTTCCAAAATAGGACTAAATACCATCTATCTTCTTATTATACATTTCCACCTTTACCATAACTTAATAGGATAATCATATTTTACATTATGATAAATAGGAAAAATAACAAAAGGTATCTCAATTTATAAAAATATAGTAACAAAATAAAAAGGAAGTTAAAAAATGTTTTAAAAATAATAAATAATAAATAGTGATAAAAATTAATTTAATGAAAACTTTAAAAATAAATAAAACCAGATAAAACGCATTAAAAATTGTTTTAACTTTCTTTTTATTTTGTTACTATATATTCATAAATTGAAATACATTTTGTAATTTTTTTACTATAATGTAAAATATGATTATCCTATTAAGTTATGGTAAGAGTAGAAATGTAGAATAAGAAAATAGACAGTACTTCAGTCCTATTTTGAGAAAATAAATAACGTAGTCCTATTTTCGTATTTGGAGATCAGTTTAGTCCTCTTTTAGGGCTATCTTCTCAAAAATATATTAGTGATATAATAAAGTTAAGAAAAGGAAAAAGGAAATAAGTAAGTGTAAGTAAAAAAGAAAATAAAGTAAAAAAGTTAATACGGTGAAAAAAAGATCTTTTCCTAGGAAACTAATCCGAAAAATATATAAAAATGAAAATGAAATGATAAACGGGAAGAAGAAGACAAAGAAGAAGAAATGGAATACATAAACATTGAAAAAACAAAAAAAACTTGAAAAGTAATAAAAATAAGAATAAGACCAAAAAGGGGAATAACAGAGTCAAGAAATAAAAAGGGAAGAGTTTTAGGAAGAAGAAAAGGAAAATGATATGTGGGATCGCTGGGAGAAGATTTGTGAAATGTGGGATTTATGGTTGAATGATTTGCAAAGAAAATTGAAAAAACTTGGATTAATAGGTCATCAACCAATCAGGAACCAGCGAATGGTGAAGATGAGGTGCAAAGATTGAATTATTAATAAATAATGAAAAAGTGATACTATTATAGGGAGACCGCTAAAAGGTTGGATTATTAATTTCCATTTTCCCAATACTAAAATGTTTTCATCTCAACAAAAAAGTCTTGCCAACTTATGATTAACCTCCTCAGCTCCTGATCACATTTTGTGGGAATGCGCAGCAGGAAATTCTAGAATGATCAATTTAACCATTTTTGGAACCATACTAAATAAAATTTCCTAAAGAAGTAAAAGAACAATCTTTTTTAATCATAATATGTGGAGCAAAACGAAATATGAAGCGCTTTTATTCTTGGCACATCTTGTTGTCCTCCTAATCAATAATGTGCCCATGATCCTAAAAAAACATCAAAATGAAGAGAGTAATAATACAATAGGATGCGAGCCACAAATCTCCCGCCCGCCCCACAAAATAAGGATGCAAACTCTTTCCATCATAAGAGTCTGTTTTATGCTAACAATACCCATCATCATTTTCATTTCTCCATGGATTCAATCACCTTCTTGGCAAATGATGGCAAACAGAACGCTGCAGAATGAATCTGAAAAAAAAGGTGACTGTCAGTGCAAGTGGATAACTAGTAGATAAAAACTAACCACTAACTTTTGCACCGGCATCACTGAGATTGTCTATTGGGTGGACTGGATGCTTGAAATCAACCACTGGACCATCGGTAGAGCAAAGCATGAAACCCATAACTCCACTGATAAAAACAGACCAAGTTTAGGATATATAATGATGCCATTAGTAGTGGTTAGTCTAGCATGTAGCATGTCACAAAAGCACCTACTGCCTAGACATGAATTGCGTGTGGGATCGTTACAGACAACATATCTGAAAAATAGCCTGAAGTTTACAATATAAGTCAGAAAGTTATAAATTTAGGGAGGGTCTAGAGCTAGTAAACAGATCGGCTCACATCCAAGATAAAACACTGGCCTAGAAGCTGAAAGTTTCAAACATAATTCAAATTGATGTATACATATGGTGAAATTAGGAGGGGCCAAGAGAAAAATAACATAGAAAGTGGGATCTATACAACATTGCCAAAAGGGAGGCATATCCACTCCCCAAAGACATTGAGTTTCATAGAAATATAGTGCAGGACTAACCAATTAAAACATAGCTAAAGGGAGAACATGACTAAACTGCTACCATGTCCTTTTCTCATGGAGGAAAAGAAAAACAAAAAGACATGGGACAACTTTGAGAAACAGGAATCAAATGAAACGAGTAGGAAAATGAGTTCCAGCCTATATAAAGGTACAATATCCATCCTACATAATAATGGTGCAAAATACTTACCTTGGATACGTAGGAACGGTAGTCCATGCATAGTTGACAGAGCCTTTGAAAATTTGGCGGCAGTTTGTCACAATATCTTCAATTATGTGTATATGAAGCCATATACTCTCAGCCTGTGTACATACAACCCCTCCCGGACGAAGAGCCCTTGCCACCAATTGAAAGAAAGGCTTTTCAAACAGCTCTTTTGCGGGACCTGATTTAAAAAGTAGACAAGGTTCATTAAATCAAATACATAAAAATCATGAACCATGCGATTTGAGGGCAAAAAATAGGAAATTTGGCATTTGACTATTTGCACCCCATGTTTTATTTTCTTTGAACATGCACCCCAAAGCAGCCTCAAAGTGAAGCCAAAAGCAAAGGTTTGCAAGTTAATGGTGAAGTGAAAAGTCTAACGAATTGGGTGCAAAATCTAATGTAACTGACATGCATTGGGGTTGAACAATGAAAATAAAACATGAGGTGCAAAGTAAATAATTGGGGTACAACATGGGATGCAAAGACCGATTTTCTAGCGAAAAAAATGTATTTACCTTTGGGATCAGAAGAATCCACTATAATAGCATCATAGGTTCCTTCAGTCACATTTTTCAAGAATTGAACTCCTACAGACCATCAAAAGGTTCAACTTCCATTCTGAATGAGTATGACTATAAGCAACTCATCATCATTCATAAGACAAAACAGTGAAAAACAAAAGCAAACTTTTTACAGTACCATCGCCAATGTGGAGATTTACACGGGAATCCTCATATCCAACAGCCACATCAGAGAAAAATTGTTTTGAAACCTGTAGAACAACAGAAGTATTAATATTCCGTGAGCTTGCAATTTACAAAAGTAAAATTAGATGAGTATTGAGCAATGCACCATGCATAATATAAATTTAGTCACCGCGTCTTTTCCCTTTATAGAGAGAGTAAACAGAAATTTGTTAAGTATCCCACATCGAATGTTCTGATGTTCACTAGGTTCGATTCATAATATAATAATATATAAGCGTGTGTCAAATCTCATCTCTTGAGGATCCTATTTAAGTGAGTTAGACACTTAGACCCAATTGAAAATGGTTTCAGAAGTAGATCCCAATTTCCCATGGTGTTTATTTTATTTGTTTGCCACCTTCATGGTTCAGGTAGCCTGTTTGGATCACATTAGTCTAATTGAATACCTGTTCAATTGTGCAACCCATTTTGGATAGGGGGAGAGTGTTAAGTGCCCCACATCGGATGTTTAGCTGAGCTGAGGCTAATATAAAAGTGTGAGAACATCGTCTCTAGAGAATTCCCATGGGTTAGTTAGGTCCAAACTGTCCAATTTAATTTTTTCAATTTGATAAAACTAATTTTTAAAGCTCACTTACATCGACTACCATCTTATCAATCTCACATATGTCTATCTGCACAACTGAAGAATGGCGAGACACTTCGCGCAAGACACCACCGTCTCCTCCTCCAATGACCAATACCTGAAAAAATTGTAAATAAACCCTATATTACGTGACAAAATAGGGGGAGTAGAAAATTAATTCGTGATTCCAAAACTATAACATGCAACAACTTCTCTCATGAGCTATATCATCCTTAAAAACAACAGTATACGAAGAATTCAAAAATGATTATTTTTGTTTATGAACACTACGCAAAGATACACACTCTAATGTAAATTCATTTGAACAGAAAAGATATCTATACACAAAAGAGTAGATGATAAACAAATAAAATTCCTTGATTAATACTCCCAACAGATATTCACTAAACAAGATAGTGTACATGCCTTCTTGGGGTTCTGGATTGAACAAAGCGGGAGATGAGCAATCATTTCTTGATATGCACATTCATCTCTTTCTGTTAGTTGTATCACACCATCCAAAACAAGCACTTTACCATATGTTGAAGACTGCAAAAGAACCAATGAAGTAGTGAAGAAGTTCCGGCGTAAAGAGATACTACGTATAATACATACACATATACAGGTTTGGAAATATGAAACCTGAAACACCAAGACATCCTGGTAATCTGACTTCCCCTTGAACAATACACTTTCTACCTTTAATGAGTGTGCCTCTCCTACTCAAGAATAGCAAGTGAAAGATAATAAATTAAATCTTTTACCCAAGTAATTTCAAACAAAGAGAGGGTCTACAGTGAGACCCGTGATGATACTTCCACAAAGATTTTTTTGCAGTAAATTGAAAAAAGAATTACAAAAATTTACTAAAAAAGTAAAACTTTTTAGCAGCATAGGTGCTGTTTAGCTAAATGTAGCATGTCGGTTGTATCTTGCTAGTTGTTCAATCTTCGAAGTAAACACGCTTGCATGTCGTGAATTAGATATCTGAGTTGTTTGATGTAAGATCAGATGGCTTCAGAGTGAAAAGTAGTTGCCTAAACTCACAGGGTGAAAATGCTGTACAAGAGTATATCAAAATTATACATCTACGATCTCTAGATTATCAATGGTGATACATGACATGGTCGCATGGACCCCATAAAAACAGAGAAGTCACATGGGAGCAAACTTCCAGGGTATACTAAATATAACCTTTTCTACAAATCAGAAACATCAAGTAAGGGTTGGAAAAGAGCCATTCATTATACTTAAAAAAAGCTCATTCATCAAATAGGATCTAATAAAGGCCCCTTACAGTACCTTAGTACATTTTTCATAATGTATACGCTTTACAAATTAAATAAAACAGAAACAAATCAATGCATATATGGTTTCACTACTGATGAGATTTCATGAATGCGTGTATATTCTTTTGAGAACTGACCAGGCCACATTGGGCTAATCTCAGAGAACCAGCCGGGGATGATGGAGGAGAACTGCTCCTCATTGCCGCCGCCGTTGGTTGCGTTGTTGGAAGCTTCCATTTGAATACGGACGGAGACACCATTCTGTTTGTCCTCTCTCAGCCACTTCGCCGGAAACTCGCCTCCGCTTGCCGCCCCACTCTCTCCCATCATCTCCTTTATATGTGTTCCGCCGAAATGTATCGAGAGGTGCGTGAGGAGTCCGATTAGGACTTTCTGTGTGAGAGCCAAGTATAGGTTACTGGCTAGTTTTAGACTTTGGCACTGACATTTTGGCTGTGTTCGGCGCGAGCTTCAAGCTGATAATTGGCTGGAATTTTATAAATTCAGCTAATAAATGTAGAAGTAATACGGTTTGGGGAAAAGACTGGATGGGGCCGAAGTTAACAATAATGGGCTGAATTCAAACGTTGCCCAACCTAACGTTTGTGTTCAGTCCGTCACTCAATACCCATGTATGTCTAAACTATCGCTTGCGCTGGTTCGTCTCTACTACCCAAAATTATCCGTCACCTTCTTCTCCGATTACTGGCTATAATTATAATGATTGTGCTTCCAATTTCGTAATACTGCGACTCTGGAGTTCTGGCCAAATTAGATTACAGAGGGCCAATAAAATCCATACCCTGTAGCGTCGAACCCACGACCTACTGTTGCAGGGCCCATCCTCACCGGCGCAACAAACAGTTTGATGAACTCTAGCTCTACGTACCGCTATGATGAAGAAGAACAGGAGAATGAATTCGTCGAATATGTATTCCTCGAAGAAAGTGATATCATACAGGAAATCCCTGTGGTCTGTGGATGAAGAAGAGTTTCCAGAAGTGGTGACCTTTACACCGCCTGCTGCAATAACACTGATGATAGGTGCGGATAACCTATTATCCAGGTTAGCCTTCAAATGATGGCAAGCTGCTCGCATCAGGAAGTATAATGATGGGCTTACATTAATTAATAAATACAGAGTATTGAAAGATAAAAAGATTATAATAAACGCTGAGTTTTTTTCGAATTAATGTTAATTAATTAATTAATTAATTACAAAAATAATGTTGGAAAAAAAGTATTTACCGATCTACTGCTGGGTTTAACCATAGTCAGGCAAAGTCGTCAAACTGTTTGGCGACTTATAAGTCGCCCAACCGTTGGGCGACTTTTCCCTTCCATATGAACGCAGACCAGCAGCTACTGCCAGCCACGCACGATCGTGCCTGCAAGGGTAGGCACGATCGTGCCTAATTCCGAAAACAGGATTTCAGCATGTTTTTTGCCCCGGTTCAACCCAGACTCATCTGTTTGCTATAAATAAGGTCTCTCTTCTCCTGTTTAAGTGTTACGAGCCAGATACAACACATTATAAAACATACATCACACCTGTTCACAAACACATACATAACACCTACTCTCAACAATATACAAAACACGTTGTAAATACCCTTCACAAATCGAATACAAAACCTTAGATTCATAACAGGTAAAACACAGTACAATCATCCAATATTCATAACAAGTAATCATCTTATATTCATACTCGAACACATCTATTAATATCTAAAGGAGCAGTTTTTTTGTGAATAGTGTTCCCTCCCATTTATGTCAACATCATGCTTTGGTGGTTTTTTTCATCAAAAATAAATGCAAAATAATGTTTTATTGGCTAGCAGATTTGTGAACAGTTTACTCAAAAACTACATTTGTTTCTATTGGATAACATGGGCGGTTGCACTGTTCGTGAAAAATATCAAGTTTCTTTTGATTGGCATGTTCATTGATTCCTATTGGGTAAAAAAATAATTGCACTGCGCACTCACACAAAAAGATCGGATGAATCCCGGTAATTGATTTGGTTCATTAGTTTACTTGATTTGATTGAAGTACAATTTTGTTATTGGTTAAGATGGGTGGTGTGAATAGTCAAGCATGAAATCCTATTGGATGGAATGGGTAGCTGGAATAGTATCCTTATTTATTGTTTCTAAATTACTAACACAACTTGGTTGAGAATGAACCAGCCAATGTAACCGGATCAACAATCTCTCCTATAAAAGCATCAAGCCATCAAGGCAAGGGCTGCAAGGGCTACCAGAGCTATCATCCAAAAAAAGGAAACAAAAGTACAAGATTAAAAGACATGGTATGAGGCTTCCGCGCATGGAGTTGCCAAAGTCCAATCTGCATCTAATTTCATACTCATATATGATGGGGTTGAGGGGCCCCTTGGGTCTTCCGTTTCCATCTTTGCATTGTCCTGAAGCCTACAAATAGGCCTTTTTATGCTCCAAACTCTTCAAGAAAAACACTGAACAAGCAAACATTTGCTTATATTCAAATACTACGTTACTATTTGTTATAACAGTTGTCTGTGTTTATCACTCCCTGCCCATGATACTGTCCCAGAATCCCTGGATTGTGGCTTTCCTGACGAAGAGGTGACAATAAACCTATTAACACTCAGAAATATTATGTAAAACTCCATTGTTGTTTTTGACAGTTTTAATATCTCAGCTATGCTAGGGAACAAGAATTCACGGTGACACTCCAAGCTAGGTCGCCTCTACGCTATGAAGAATTTTCGGATGCAAAACTATCCCCTTAACTAATGTATTTGAAATTTGATGGGTGTTTAGATTTAGGAAATCATAGGTAATGCCTTCAAGAAATGCTTAGTTTGAAATGAAAATCAGTGTGATTGTTTGATGGTTTAAGTGTTTTTTAGAGATCTTGAAAGAAATCTCTATTGCCTAATGTGATTTCCCTTGCATTTTATCTTTTGGTTTATTTTTAAACGTACTTGATAATGACAAGAGTATTGTCCTAAAGGAGAACACTTTGGAAAGGACATAATAAAAGGGTTAATAAACGTTCTTTAACTTTTTTATTAAAAAGTTTAATTTTATCATTCAGTTTAAATTAAAGGATTTCTAAAAAACTGTGATATATTTTGATAAAAAGTTTTTGTTTTATTAAAGTGCCTATCATTTTCAAGTAGAAATGTCAACAATTTAAAGAAGCGGCTATGATTTGCGGTAATGATGCAACTACGATCAGAATATTTTGGCCTAAGCTCATCTGTGTTGTGAACAAAAATAAGAAATCCAAAGATTTCTAGAAGAAATATCAAATATAGAAGTGTCACTCTTGAACCTCAATTTGTTCCGGAATCAAATAAAAAGGTGTAAATTTCTAACTGATATGTTTTGTACTGCAGCTTCTAGAAAGTAATGCTTTGGGTTTTCAAAAAACATGCCTTTTTACTTTTGAGAACATGGATATTTTCCTTTTAAAAATATTGTTTGTTTGGAGTATTTTTAGGTATTTAAGATACACCAATTCAAGAAATATGTTATTTATCTTTTCTTTTAATCATATGAAAAACAAACATGAGATGTGAAAGCACCAAAAGATATTATTTGGTGCTACATGTGTGAGGGAAATGTAACCCATTGATTTGTTGATGTTTAACGTCAAGGATAAAGAAATGCAGTTGATTGAACAGTGAGATATGCTTAAACTTACTAAATCATCAACCATTGAGATATATAGGAGCTTTGTTTCTGTCTCCAAAGAGGGTACATATTGATTTAGTTGTATAGTTATTAACATTTGTCTTTAACATATACGGAGTAGTAATTAGCAATGCTTAATTGCATACTGTAACATATATGTGTATTAGAGAATGCAAGTAACTTGGATAAGAGTTGATCTTTGTTTTAATTACTAGAATTTCGCATAGGATGGCTTGAAGGTAAAGTATTTTGAAAAGGGATTTGCAGAAAGTGTATTTTAGAAATCAAGGGAAAAACAGTTAGTCAAAGTGGTAAGAGTGTATTTCAATAAAGGGGTTGAGATCAAAGACAATAAAGGTCAAGCACAACACGTAGAGGATTTCCAAATATCATTCTGCCACAATAAGTCTATCATAGAATATCTTTGTTTAGTTCAACAGTTATGCATATGTTCATATTTGTCAATTTGATATACCTTTTAAGTGTGAATTATTAAAAAAAATACAAAATATTTGACCCCTTCTTTCCAGAGTTTAATATCCCTTTTGTGACCACAAACCCAATTAAGATTTTTTTTGAACACTTTAACCTTTTAGAAAAACACTTGCTTCAAAGATTTTTTTTTGAATGAGGACATATACTTCAGAAAATGGAAAGTTCTTTAATATTGTTAGGAGAATATAATGTACAAATATAGCATGCAACTAAGTTTAACAAAGTCATGCTTAAAAACCAAAACTAACAAACTTACATGTGCCGACTTACCGATGGTCATGGCTTTGTGTTATTTCACTGTACGGTATGTTTGTGTGTGGTCTCTGATTCGACTTCCGGTAGCACCACTTAGAGTTGTGACCATGGATGAGACAATATGTGGTGCTATAGGGTCGTCGACTAAACGGATGGAGTCCACTGATGGTGTGTTTTTTACAACGGTTGACCAACGGAGGATGTGAGTGAATGATATAGACAGATCTATTTGTGTGAGGCGGTGAGTTTGTTGAGGTGAAGATGAAAATCATCCGTGATGAAAGAGCTGAAGAGGGACGGTTTTTGATAATGGCGGTGGAGATGTCGAGATGGTTATGGCATCCAGATTAGGTTTATTTGAGGCTGGGTTACGTTGGGCTGGTCCGGCCTATTTCTTTTGTTAAGGGCAATGGGCTGGGTATATCTACTACGTATTTATTTACCTTTCATTATTACGGAGTATAATATTTCTACTCATTTTCATAAATTCTTTTTTTTATTACGAGTATCAATTTTCAAGAATTCTTTTAGTAATTTATTAAAAATCTTACGGAGTATTGAATTCAAATAACTAAAATGAGGAATTCAAACCACTTTTGATTTGCCAATGCACCCGGGCAATTCGTGTAAAAAATGCAATTCGTATAAATGCATAGTCATCATATTACTTGAGATGTTTATACTTAGATTTATTTGAGTCTCCGACCAAACCAAAGTTAAACAAACCAGACCAAATCATACTTGGATATTAGAAATAGTAGAAGGAAATATTTGAACATTTTCCCAGGCCACAAATTTAGATTCAAGTATAATTCAAGAATGACCTAACACACTTTCACATTTTACTCCCTTATTTTACCTATTTAGAGAGACAATTCGTCTAAAATGTAATTTGTGTAAATTTATAATCACCTTATGTATGTACTGCGTTGTAACAAAGGGCATGACTACACAACACAT